TTTTTTTTTTTTTTTTTTTTTTTTTTTTTTTTGAATTGTATTCTTTGAAGTTTTTTTGTCTTATTTTTTTTAAAGAAAAACAATTTTATTATAAATGAAACAAAATTATGATTATTGCATTGTTTTTCATATGAAATTTGAACTGATGATTACACAACATCTAAGCCGCTGCTGCACTAACATCAATGCTCAGTTATCATTGCCCAACATAAATATTATGGTCAATTATCATCATGATATATATCAAAATTAGTGCCAGTATTATTGCCAGTTAGCCGAATGCAGTATCAATGTCAATGTATCAGCATAAATATTTGGTAGTATTTGGGGAGGGCATACAATATACAGCTGCCTGTATCGGTGACATTCACATTTAGATTGTATGAGATGATTCCTCTTCACGATGTTGTACAAACCAATCAGTAATAAATGCCAACGGATCAGCAGGTCTTCGTAGAAGAAGCTACAATTACAGTAAACCTTTTCAATAATTGAAAGAGAAACTACTTTCTTCTTCTCTTTTTATAAATACATTTTTGATAGAATCCCAAAATGATACAACAAGAATAGGGATAAATCTCTCTTTTTCAATGGAATTATTTAACTAAGAAAGTAATTTTTTTTCCTATGTTTTTCTTTTTCAATTGTTTTCTTATTTACTTATTTCTTCTTGTTTTTTTTTTTCTTTCAGCACATCAACTTTTTGACAAATAAGTTGTTAGAATTTTTGACTGAAAATAATTTTGAAGTAACAGTTAGCCAATTTTGATAGCATAACATTTTTCTTCGTTTCTTTTTTTGCTTTCTGATTTTTTATCAAAAACCAACTTCAACAAGTGCATTGGTTAACTGTGGCAGTACTGTTCGGGTTAAGTACAAACCATTGTCTGTTAACGGTATATCAATTCGTTCTTGAACAAATTTTTCAAATTTACGTCGATCCACGTCTTCGTCATCGTCATGATAACCACCACTGCAAATCAAAGAACGGCACATTCAACAAAGTTCTATCAAATCCACAAAACCATTGCTCATTTATTGCTCTTGAAAATTTTGTCAACTGAGAACCTCCTGCCACATTCATTCATCTTCACTTCTATGTGAGAATCAAACAAAGCAAAAAAGTTTCTAAATTTGCTAATGAAAATGTATGTAATTTTTCGTACTCGGCAACAGAATTAGATTCAAGACTTTGCAACGAATGACTCATAGATTCATCATCGCTATCGTCATCCGGTGCTGCCTCCTTCTCGTTGCTACGTTCCTTCATAACCTTTAAATCAATTACAGCATTACGTCGATAATAGTCGGGTATACGTCCTTCCTAAAAACGAAAAAAAAAATTAGAAGAAAAATAAGCAGTAGATTACAGCTGTAAATCAGTTTGTAATAAACTCAAGATTTTTTTTTACAGAAGTACAAAA